CGGACAGACAGCGTCACAAAGTTCTCAAATAAAAGCGAATGGACATCGCGTAGTGCAACAAAGCCTGGAATATGATTTAACGTCGCATAGCTTGAGAATGGAGGCGGAGGCAGTCACCGCTACCTTCAGCTGGCTTGAGAATCATATGTACACGCATGTCGTAATTGTAACTGATTCACAGAGAATGTTCAGAAAGTATGCTCCGTGCAGAGTGGCAAGCATCGCTTCAGAGGTCCTGGGTAGTTAGTGTCCTTTAGATATTTTCACCAGGTCATGATCTTTTTTGGTAAACGAGCAGACAGATAGACTGGTTGGTTCTGCACCCCTTGGTGGTGAAATGATGTATGACAAGCTAGTTGTTGTGAGGGGCCTTTGGTAGCAAGTGAACAGTGCGGAGGCACAGATAGACCATTACGGTCTAAGGAGAATAGCATTGCGGGGAGTTACCAGGGGATCTTGCCGACGCTCAACACTCAAGGGAAAGGCAAAACGGTGCACAATCAGACAGTTTCTGGTACCATGGGAACTGGAACGCTTTGCTTGCTGCTGAAGGTGGGGACGGCGCGCTCTGGTTTTAGAATGTAACTTCGACAAGGTGATGCACCAATGGCAGTTTGAAAAAGTGTACGACAGTCAGGCACAGTGATTATAGGAGATCTATGCGGAAAAAAATTATAAAAAAGAATTGACAGGAATGCACAATAATAATAAGTAGATAAGCAACGATAATAATGTTGCCTAATGGCGAATAAATATACGAAATAATATGAACATAGAAGCAAACACAATGAAACTTTTTTACATGGCTGGGAGGATGCGGGAATGGAATACGCATCATCAAGAAGCTGAAGAAGTACAGAATCCATTTTGTTTTGTTTGATTTGTTTATGTTGGCGAAGATAAATTTAAAAAAAAGCTATCGAATTTTTTTTTGGTTGCCTCGTGTGTTTTCAGTTTATGACCGTGCGTCAAATTATATGGAATGCTATAAAATAACATCATTGCCTTTATGTAGATTAGGCCCCTCCCCTAAAACTTGTCATGAGGGGCTTCAGGTTTCCGTCGCTCCTGATAGCAGTTAACTGTCATTGTTGAGTGGGATCTCGATGATTAATAGCGGCATAAATCTCTCACGATGTACCAACAATTTGTATCCACTATTCTGGTTTGTGTGTGTGTGTCTTTAATCAATACTGTATTATCGACTGATCCTGTATTATCAATGTGATGTCTGCAAATTTCCTCCGGATTGCATCATGATCCACCTCCGCCTCTTTCCTCGCCGGTAGCAGTTTTTGCAGTAACCCTTGACCACGTGTGTTACCGGGAGTTTCGTCATCAGCCCGCCCCGCCCTCTGTTGTCGTCTGCTGGCATGGAAGATAGCACCAACCGCCACAACACAACGGACAAGCTGGAGACCGACAGGTAGGATCTTCTCTTATCTCTTGTCGGCCTTTGACGGTCTTAGTCACATTTGGACAAAAATAGTTGTCTCCTGCTTTATTATCATTTTTATTCCGCACGATTTCCCTTCAGTAATGTGAATATGCATCAAGAAGTCGAATGAAGAAGTAAGTTTAGTTTAAAGAACAGACCCCATTTTTTAAAAAATGTTGGCGAAGATAGATTAAAAAAAAAATAAGCTATCGAATTTAGTTGTTTTGTTTGTGTGTTTCCTGGTGTCACTTATTTTGAATGCTATAACATCACATCATTGCCTTGATGTAGATGAGCTGAGGCGGGGGCGACGACACCACTATAAAAACATCAGTACAGTACTGTCGGGTTGGGCGTTGTCTTGAAGGGAGGGGTGTTAAAGGGACACACGCAATGTTTAACTCTTCCAGGACCATATTTTTTCTGGAGTTTGCACAGCATTAATTTTGAGCGAATTTTTTTTTACTGCAACACGACAAAGCTAAAACCTTCCTGAAGAAAAAGTATTGGCTGTGTCAGGACATATAATGTATCAAATTAAAGATAAATAAGTTAATAATAAATTGGCTCTACTTGCAGATTTGGCCGGCAAGCTGGACGGCGTGTCGGTCGGCGTAGTGGGAGTTCTTTCCCTTGGCCGCACTCACAACAACGAGCGGAAAAAGTCACGACTCAAACACGACACTGAGGTCGACATCAGGGCTGCCAATGCTTGGTTGTGTCCCCCAGATCTGGGTTTTTCTTTTGACGCTGAGGGAAAATTTGGGTTTTTTTTTTTCTGTGTGTCTGTCTGTGGGTGTTTTGCCGATCAGTAAGCTTTAATGACCGATAAATTTGCGTGGTTAGGGGTTTGGTTAGGGTTAGCGGTAGGATTAGGGTTAGGGTTAGGATTAGGGGTAGCGTTAGGGTTACGGTTAGGGGTAGCGTTAGGGTTACGGTTAGGGTTAGAGGTAGGGTTAGGGGTAGGGTTAGGTGTAGCGTTAGATGTGACAATTGTGACGCCGTAGTTCCCTATAATCGCGCACTGTTGCATGCACGCGCAAACAGTCGACGGACGGTGGATGCTACTGACACGGACAATTCGCCACCGATTGGGCACCAGCTGCGCGCTATTGCCGTCATATTTGCCACACTTCCAGTGGCGCCACTCCCACAAACATCAGATTGTCGGCCAGTATTTCGACCTCTTACGTGAAAATTTTCACATCTAACCCTAACCCTACCCCTAACCCCTACCCCTACACGCAACCGTAGGATGATAGGTAACACTAGACGCAACCGTACGCAGCCCTACACGCACCCGGATGATGATAGGTATGTATGTCATTTGATTCGTGACTTTTTTCTGCGACTTGTTTTGAGTTTGGCGAAGGGACATAACTTCCACTAAGCCGACCGACGCCGTTCAGCTTGCCGGCCAAATCTGCAAGTAGAGCCAATAAATTTACTGTTTTAGTGTCAGTATTGCAACAACATATAATTAAAATCGCACAACATTTAAAAGGATGTTAGACACATATAAAGATTATTTACATAAAACGTTTGTGCTTACCTGACTTTTTACTTGTTCAGCAACACTGCTATCCAGTTCTATGAATTCACAGGCCTTCTCTGTTCAGTTATGTATCTTCTAGTCTTTATTTAAAACAATTAATTTTAATAGTATGTTAAATTATGATAATTTCACAACCAAAAATCGGGAAAACATCTGATCGAAAGAGATAATCCGATATATTTTTGTACAATTTCATCATCATCAGGTGCCTTGCCGAGTGGCGTGGGCGATCATGCCTCTCCATAATCCGCGATCTCCTGCAGCATGTATCAGTTCGTGTGCCGACACACCTCCATGCCATGCAACAAGACTGTCAAGCATCTTCTCTCGTTGTCTTCCTCTATCCCTCCTTCCACAGATCTTTCCAGTGGTCACAACATGTTCTATTTTCCCTCTTCTCATAACATGGCCGAAAAATGATGACTGTCTCCTTCTGATGTCAGTTACATTGTACAATTTACATATTCTAAACTAAATTATTGCCAATAGGTTTGTCACTTAGATATCAATCATAATATCAAGACTATTGTCACCATCTGGCAAAGATTCATCAACGAAAGAGCAGTATGAACAGTTCTAGACTTTTTCCCTTAGCATTTAGTCTGGAAAAATCACGTAAAAATTGTATCATAAATAAATAATTTTTTAAAATCATAACGTGACACAAAAGCCACGCGCGACATCGCAAACAAAAAGTCATCCTGTTGTTAATCCTGATTTTTCAAAAGCTTCGTTTTCACCACAAACGGAACAAAATTAGAGTGTCTCTGTGATACGCTAGTATAATGGCGACAGTCCGATAGTGATAACTTCATAAGCCAGTTAACTAACTGGTGACCTGTCTTCAAAGAGTTAAAGTCCGTAATAATAATAATGTGCTCAGTGGCAACAGTATAATAATATATTACAAACAATATGACAAAGTGAACAAATACTTGAACAGAGAATTTCTTGACATGACCCTGGGGCTTCTAAGCTCCATTACAAATGTTCCGGGGGGGGGGGGGAGAAGCTTCCATGTTCTGGGGGCCCTGGCTGGGGGTTTAACAGGTTCCCAAATGGCCAGATGTTGACCCTCAGGCTGATTCTCACAATAGCTAGGAGTATTTATTATCTGTTGTGAAGATTGCTTGACTAGTGGACTTTCTCCCAACCAATCCGAGTACTTTAAAGACACCAGCAAACAACATCATCATGCATGAACAAATCAATGGAACTTTATTTTCAGGGGTCAAATCCCTACCATACTGGTTACATCAACAAAAACAACAACAACAACAAAAAAGCAGACAGATGCAGCATATCTAGATGGAATGTATGAAGATACCACCAGCCTAAAGCCATGGAATATCTGTTAAAATCATCTAGGATGGCTAGCCCCATTGACCAGTGCTTGCAAGAAATGAAATGTAATGGTTTTTCTCCAAGTGTTTTTAGGGCTCTCCATCACTTTTTGTCCCCCTATGTTTGAATCGTAACAGACACAGCGTTTGCATGCAGATATGTCAGTGATTCTCAACCTGTGGATCAAAACCCCATAATATCTAATATCATGTAAATTCACTTGTTACTTTGCAAACAGAGTTTATTTTAATGGTTGTCTAATTTAACATGTGATTGACTGTATTTCACAGATTCATCTTATAGCTGTATTTGGTGTGATAATCTTGTGATTGATGCCATGTGCCGTCTACAAACAGCACTTGAGACTTCAACACACGGACAGATCTGTATGTCCCTGTTGAGTTGCAGCACCAGGCAGGAATCTGATAGACCTATTAGCAGTCTGCACACAAGAGCTCCTATACCTGCATGTAGGAACAATCCTAGGAGCCTCATAGAACTTTAACACCAGCAGCTCGTAACTGATAGTTGGAGGATATTTGTTCCGACAAAACGTCCCATCAGTTACACACTCAATTCTAAGGCCTAGCTTGGTACACAACACATTATCAGTTACACACTCAGCTCTAACACCTAGCTTGGTACGCAACACATTATTCTACCATGGGAGTCACCAAAAAACGTGTGGTTGCTAGCGCTGACTCCAGATACTCACCTATTGCCAGCGTCAGTGCCAGCATTATAACCGATAATTCCAAACATTCCATAGCTGACTCTGGCAGCATAGTCACACAGGAGACCAAGCTGGAGCTGAAAAAACAGATGAACTTATTTCACTGTGTCAGCATTATCATTGGCATCATCGTTGGGGCTGGCATTTTTGTCTCACCCGTTGGAATAACTGTTCATGTCCGGTCTGTGGGTAAGTGGCAGTTTTGCTGTTTGATTCTTTGTATAGCACAGGCTACATGAGAATACAGAGAGTTCTGCAGAAGAATACCCTTGGAGATATATGTAGATGCGAGGTAGATGAACATATAGATGTAAGGTAGATGTAGATATAGCTGTAAGGTAGATGTGGATATAGATGTGAGGTAGATTTAGATATATATGTGAGGTAGATGTAGAACTAAATGTGAGGTAGATGTAGAACTAGATGCGAGGTAGATGTAGAACTAGATGTGAGGTAGATGTAGAACTAAATGTGAGGTAGATGTAGAACTAAATGTGAGGTAGATGTAGATATAGATGTGAGGTAGATGTAGATATAGATGTGAGGTAGATGTAGATATAGATGTGAGGTAGATGTAGATATAGATGTGAGGTAGATGTAGATATAGATGTGAGGTAGATGTAGAACTAGATGTGAGGTAGATGTAGATATAGATGTGAGGTAGATGTAGATATAGATGTGAGGTAGATGTAGATATAGATGTGAGGTAGATGTAGATATAGATGTGAGGTAGATGTAGAACTAGATGTGAGGTAGATGTAGATATAGATGTGAGGTAGATGTAGATATAGATGTGAGGTAGATGTAGATATAGATGTGAGGTAGATGTAGATACAGATGTGAGGTAGATGTAGAACTAGATGTGAGGTAGATGTAGATATAGATGTGAGGTAGATGTAGATATAGATGTGAGGTAGATGTAGATATAGATGTGAGATAGATGTAGATATAGATGTGAGGTAGATGTAGATATAGATGTGAGGTAGATGTAGATATAGATGTGAGGTAGATGTAGAACTAGATGTGAGGTAGATGAATAACTAGATGTGAGGTAGAACTAGATGTGAGGTAGATGTAGAACTAGATGTGAGGTAGATGTAGAACTAGATGTGAGGTAGATGTAGAACTAGATGTGAGGTAGATGTAGAACTAGATGTGAGGTAGATGTAGAACTAGATGTGAGGTAGATGTAGAACTAGATGTGAGGTAGATGTAGATATAGATGTGAGGTAGATGTAGAACTAGATGTGAGGTAGATGTAGATATAGATGTGAGGTAGATGTAGAACTAGATGTGAGGTAGATGTAGAACTAGATGTGAGGTAGATGTAGAGCTAGATGTGAGGTAGATGTAGATATAGATGTGAGGTAGAAGTAGATATATATATTTAGGGGAAGTATTATCTATAATCAGGCTAACTATAATCCCAGCCAGTATGTATGATTATTGGTATCTATAAAAGTCAACCAGATGCAGAATGTCATGTCTGGAGCGGTTAGATATAGTCCTTGTTTCCAGCCCAGACTCCACAACAGGTTATATAACCGTCAGCTGTCATCGTTGAACTGTCGTATGCGGTTGACCAGGTTTCCATTTTTTGTATCGGTTTGCTTTTCATCCTTGAGGTGTTATTCCTACAGACTGAAATCCAGGAAGAGAACAACTACCGACCCATCTGGACTTTTTCACGGCCCACCCATGCTCTACAGCATTTCCTTCCAGGCCTAGACTTATTACAACTTATCACCATTTATCCAGACAATCACTAACGATGGGACATCTGAAACATTACCTGACAGCTAAAGTTCATGAAATAGTCAGTCTGGTTCAAACATTACCTGACAGCTAAAGTTCATGAAATAGTCAGTCTGGTTCAAACATTACCTGACAGCTAAAGTTCATGAAATAGTCAGTCTGGTTCAAACATTACCTGACAGCTAAAGTTCATTGTTGAATATTGTCCACTGTTGAATATTGTCCAGTGCTGAATATTGTCCAGTGTTGAATATTGTCCACTGTTGAATATTGTCCACTGTTGAATATTGTCCACTGTTGAATATTGTCCACTGTTGAATATTGTTGAATATTGTCCACTGTTGAATATTGTTGAATATTGTCCACTGTTGAATATTGTTGAATATTGTCCACTGTTGAATATTGTCCACTGTTGAATACTGTTGAATATTGTCCACTGTTGAATACTGTTGAATATTGTCCACTGTTGAATATTGTTGAATATTGTCCAGTGCTGAATATTGTTGAATATTGTCCACTGTTGAATACTGTTGAATATTGTCCACTGTTGAATATTGTCCAGTGCTGAATATTGTTGAATATTGTCCACTATTGAATACTGTTGAATATTGTCCAGTGTTGAATACTGTTGAATATTGTCCAGTGTTGAATACTGTTGAATATTGTCCAGTGTTGACTTGTCCTCAGGCATGTCAATTGTCATGTGGGGTGTGGCTGGCCTCTTCTCCATGCTGTGTGCTCTGTGTTATGCTGAACTTGGTGCATGCCTCCCCGAGTCTGGTGGAGAGTATATCTACATCAAGCGAGCTTGGGGGGATTTTGCAGCCTTCATGAGTCTGTGGATGAACTTCATCATCATCAACCCTGTCTGTGTGGCTGCCTCCACGCTGGTGTTTGCCACCTATGTCATCAGGCCTCTGTTCCCAGATTGTGAGCCACCAGAGGCTGCTGTCAGATTGTTTGCTGCTTTGATCATTGGTAAGTCATACTGTTTTTGTGCAGTTACTGTTTCTGCATGTACTTGTTTGTGTGTATGTCAGTTGTTGTCTGAAACATCACCTTCTGTTCCTCTGGTTTATCTCCGTCTTTCCTGATAATGATGTTATATTTGCTCTAAAAGAAGCCATGGAATCACAGCCCATAGTGAGGATGAGTGTGACTAGCAAGACCTGCTCAACCTAGGAAAAGTCTTCCACATTTAAAGCATAGGATTTTGGGACCATTGCTGGCCAAAGCATGTATTTAACCCATTTTGCTGCTATGGATGTATAAATACTTCTGCCCAATAGACTGCTAAAGACATTAATACGTCTTCCATTTTCTGTGCCCTTACTGCTAAGGACATAATTCGTTTTCAACTTTTCTTACAGATTGCTAAGGACCTTAATTCTCGGGGGTGAAATGTCAGTACACATTACCTAAATCTGATCAAATTGACACATTTACATACAATTGAATGGTCAGTGAATGGTGTATTAATATTCTCACGTTGTCTGTCTCTGTTTCCACCTATCTTTCCAATGGTCACAGTTTGTTCCAGTTTCCTTCTACTATGTCTGAACAATGATAACTGCCTCTTTCTGATGTCTGATAATACAAGTATAGTTGGTTGTTGAGCTGTATGTCAAGGGGTGTAGTTAGTTCACTTGCTGACTGCTTGTTGCTGCATCCTCAGCTGTGATTGTGGGTTTGAACTGCTACAACGTCACCCTGGTCACCAAGTTGCAAATGATCATTACTGCCAGTAAGCTGATTGCTCTACTCATCATTGTCAGTATCGGCTTCTACTGGCTAGGCAAAGGTAAACACTGTTTTCTTCCTCTTTTTTGATGTCTCTCAGTCTCTTTTTTGTGTGACTCTTCCATACCTGTTTTTGTCTGTCTTTTATCTGTCTCAGTCAGTGTCTTTCACTCTATGAATTCCTCTATCAGGCTGTAAGTAACTAAGTAAGTCGGGAGATGTGAACCAGTGTCATTGCACATGGTTATAAACCATACGTTCTCTGCCACCAGTACCAACAGCTGATAAGAAACTGTCCGCCTGTGTCGCTGTTCACTCGCAACTCTTTAGCAACCCAGGGCCGGTGTTCGAAACCGGGCAGTTCCTGGGGTTCACCCAGCCTCTAGATAATGGCGACGTCCCTCCATTTACCCCAGAGAGTTAACTCTGGTACCCATTATCTAGAGGCTGGGTGAACCCCAGGAACTGCCCGGTTTCGAACACCGGCCCTGGGTTGCAGTGAGTAGCAGCCGGATTTGAATGTGAGTCTCCTATCGACTGCGCTAACTCGGCCTGCTATCAGTTAGACTCACCATTTCATCATTGATTGGTCACCCCATAATTGCTCTGTTGCTGAGTCAGTGAACACCTCACAAAGTGTCCCTAATTATCCAATTTGAAAAGTCAAAGAGACAGCTGTGCTGGTAACATCTCTGCAGCTCGCACACACATCAGATATATGAGGTAGTTGCCAGAGGTGAAAACAGCTCCAGTCTGTCATTAGAATTGCTATTCGCAATACATTTTGGGAAGCTGCCAGTGATAAGCTTGATTACCTGCCAGTCCAGTGGTAATTGTTCAAATCCTGGTTGAGGTGAAGATTTAATTCTTGGAGTTCCAGAGGGTTTAACATCAGAGGCACAAGGGGTAGTTAAACAAAAATTGACGCATCTTGTGTTCATTGGGCTTCTAGGTGGGAACCTATGAACGTTTACTGATCTTCCTTGGGAATGAAAGAGTTAAACAAAAACTGACCAGAGCTATCAGGTCAGTCCAGCTTAAAGTGAATAGTGAGAAATGTTTAGGGAAATAAAGGTGTCTGTTTAATATGTGTTTAATCTTCCATAACCATATGTTTACTGTTCATATTGGCCTCATAAGCTTCTTTCCCTCTTTTAAGTGTTTCACATTCTTTTATATGTATCTCATTATCTGTCTTTCTTTCAACTTTTTGTATCTGTCTGTATCTCTACCTGCCTCCAGTCATCATTGTCTCTCTAATATTGGCCGCTGTGTTTTGTGAACCTACTAATGGCGCGTTTTCTGGCTATCCATTATTATTTTCTTTTCATGTCTTTTCATATTTGAAACAATTTATGCTTACAGAAATGTTATTACCTTGTCTGTTATTATAGGCAAACATTTCACTTTTAACGGTTTGTTGTGGTCTTTCTTCTTTAAAAAAATGTAATAAGCTGGTTCATGTATATTGTTTAAAAAAAAGAAAAAATGCTTCTGTGATGTTGGCAGGTCATGTGGAAAATTTCCAGGAGACATTTGCAGATAGTGACACCAGTGTTGGGGCAATTTCTCTGGCATTTTACAGCGGGTTTTGGGCATTTGGTGGTTGGTAAGTGTGACCAGATTCTCTCTCATAGACAGACATAGGCTGTGCTAGTACTGGTTGAGGTGTGTGGTGACTTACACATTGTCACTTGTTAACATGAAAAAAGTGATTCTTTTTCTTCTTCTTTTTTGTGTTCACTGGATGTAAACTTCAGTGGTAAGTTCTGGTTGTTCATTCACCTCTAAACTTTAGTCATCTTGTTCCAGAACTTCAGTTTATGTGCACATCTGTTTTACAAGACTGGCTTATTTGTATGCATACTGTTTGTTCCTTGTGTCTCAGACAGGAGCACTTCGACTTCCAAGAAAACTCCCATAATTCAAGTCTTATGACATGCTTGTTGGGGAGGCAGTGTGTCTGCCCACAATGGGGCCCAACAACCCACATAGGGAGGAAGAGTGATTCAGCAATCATTGAATGTTACAGATTCCTCACTGGTGTCTATTTTAAAGGCAAGTCACATGGGATATATAGTGTGCAGGATCTTTTATTTTAAAATTCTTTAAAAACATGAAGTTGAAGATGTTTACAGCACTCCAGACACATGCATAGGTATACAGATTCTCCCTTTAACATATTCATAAAACAGTGCACTCTTAATAGTTCCAGTCTTATGCTGGTTAACAAGACTTTTTGTGCGTCTGGCGTGCCCCTCATGCTTGGTTTTGCCTGTCTTGACTGCCAGTTATGGCATTGTTACAGTTATGTGGAGCCAATGCTTTTATTGAACATGTCCCATAACCAGCCACTCCTGATGGATACCAGGGGTCAAACAGGGAGCATACAGTCAGTCAGTGTCATACTGAGAAGATTGTCATGTGTAGAATATCTCTGCTCAGTGTCTGACTGCCAGCTCGGTGAATGTTCCTCTATGTTTACATTTATTGACTAGGCTGACTTTCTAGACAATTATCTGACAAGTACTGATGGCCAAACTGATTTTGACCAGTATTTTCACTTTCACAGGAGTTACCTCAACTACCTAACTGATGAAGTGATTAATCCTCACAGGTAAGCTGGCAGTTAATCATCGTAACATTTGGGGCATCTGGCTGACTGTAGCATGCATGACTGTACCATATTTTTGTTTTGTTTTGTTTTTAGGTGACCTAAATGGTGTCAGCATAATATGAAATATTTTGACTAATCATAGCCTTAAAATTCTTGAGGAGAACGCAGCATAGTATCATATATTGTTTAGTTGACCTATAGTGCTAACAGTGAAACATACATTTTGTAGTCTGTAGGAAAATCTGTGGATGAGCTGAAATCAATTCTTTGGTAGAAACATTTGGTTGTATTTGTGCACATCTTATCCTACACAATGTGCTGCAGACTGTTAAGCAAATGTAACCACGACACACATTCAGATATACGGCCAGTAAAGATAAGATTGGTATATTGCATTTGTTGCGTCAAACAACCAGACAAAAATACGAAAAACAACATTTGTGTAACCACCATAGTGAAACAAAAAGGCATGGAAAGCAAAAAATGTTGGCTATGAATGCACGGCAGAAAGCACGAAAACTAATACCTGCAAATTATGAAGATATTGAGCCAAAACATCCAGATAAACAAAACCTGAGTAAATGCATTTTAAATCTGTGCTAAAGAGGCCAAGGACAGCATTTGGAAAAATTTTGTGACAGATGTAGCGAGGGAGAAAACACTACGTAAATTCTGGAATTTGCACCGACAAATGAGTTTAAAAAAAATGTACCAGTCGTCAAATCCTGGATATTCAGGAGTCAGGAGGTAAAATATTAACAAGTGACAAGTAGAAGGAGCAAGAGTTTGAATGTCATTTATCAGGATCAGTGATAATAATGATGACGACAATGAGTATTTCAGAGATTGAGTGTTTAAATTAAATGTCATCATTCATTGGATTCCATCTCCACAGAAACCTGCCTCTGGGCATCATGATCTCAATAACAGCCATCACCCTCATCTACATCCTGGCCAACATTGCCTACTTTGCTGTGCTGACTCCCATGGAGCTGCTGCAGTCATCAGCTGTTGCCGTTGTAAGTAATCATCATTGTCTGCAGTCATCAGCTGTTGCCGTTGTAAGTAATCATCATTGTCTGCAGTCATCAGCTGTTGCCATTGTAAGTAGTCATCATTGTCTGCAGTCATCGGCTGTTGCCGTTGTAAGTAGTCATATCATTGTCTGCAGTCATCAGCTGTTGCCATTGTAAGTAGTCATATCATTGTCTGCAGTCATCAGCTGTTGCCATTGTAAGTAGTCATATCATTGTCTGCAGTCAGCTGTTGCTGTTGTAAGTAATCATCATTGTCTACAGTCATCAGCTGTTGCCATTGTAAGTAGTCATCATTGTCTGCAGTCATCAGCTGTTGCCGTTGTAAGTAGTCATATCATTGTCTGCAGTCATCAGCTGTTGCCATTGTAAGTAGTCATATCATTGTCTGCAGTCATCAGCTGTTGCCATTGTAAGTAGTCATATCATTGTCTGCAGTCAGCTGTTGTAAGTAGTCATCATTGTCTGCAGTCATCAGCTGGTGCCGTTTAAGTAGTCATCATTGTCTGCAGTCATCAGCTGTTGCCGTTGTAAGTAGTCATCATTGTCTGCAGTCATCAGCTGTTGCCATTGTAAGTAGTCATATCATTGTCTGCAGTCATCAGCTGTTGCCATTGTAAGTAGTCATATCATTGTCTGCAGTCAGCTGTTGCTGTTGTAGGTAGTCATCATTGTCTGCAGTCATCAGCTGGTGCCGTTTAAGTAGTCATCATTGTCTGCAGTCATCAGCTGTTGCCGTTGTAAGTAGTCATCATTGTCTGCAGACTGACTTAGTCGTCAATACTCTTCTATCTTGCGATGTAAAGGGTTTTCACAGAGATTGCCAGACTTCTCTATCAACAGTTTTCTTTTTGGCTTTGTTCTCTTGTAAACCTCTGTCAGCCATGGACTGTTGGATGTCTTCACAGTGACCCTTGGGTTGTTCTGGAGGTCTGGCTTTGACCTCCTATGCTTGCCGTAGTGGCCGATTCTTTCCTATTCTGCCTATATGTCAAAAGCTTTGCAACTGTGACTGATCCACTTTTAGGGGCTGGATTTGAAGATCATGACTAATTGTTTGGTTACGAATGTTGTGTGCAGTCTTGTTTGCTAAACATCCACTTTTACTATCCTTACCACATAAGCATCAGCTTCTCTGGTTTAAGAGTATTGAACACAGTTGTCAGAGACCTACTTTACTATCTTCATTTTCTATGGCTCGCTAGGCTAACAGACTTCACTACCCTAGACACACTTAAGACATACACTTGCTGAGTACAAACATAATCTTTAATGTACAATGAACAATACAACTAGTAACACCTCAACTAAGCTGGCAGTCCTTATCCTGAACGCTGGCTTTGAGCAGCTTTTACATTCACTGGTCAACCCGAGCCGTTCCCATGGATCCCCAAGGACATGATTCCAAACTAACAGTTTATCAGTGCTGACTAAGTCGCCGTCTATTGTCACGCGGGACTCAGGGACACACGTAAGGTGTATGGCCTAAGTGTGACTGGGCAGTGTTACCCCCATTAACAATGCATGTCACACATTCACTAGCTGCTTAACAAATACTGCGTGGAACGTCTACTATACAAGGAACATTAACTCTACACTATCTCGTCGAAACATTAAATGGAAACACCGCCTATCTCAAAAATACTAACCACAAATGCTATTCAATCTAACCATCACTAAAGCTTAACATAAGTTTACCTAGTCCAAGCGTTACGTCTCGTCCAGTCCAATGTCTACCACACAACTCCCCTCCAGCGACCTCTGTCCAAGCCTTTTGTTCCCCTCCTCGGTTCATCTCTCGACACGCGGTAGTCCATGTTAACCGTGTGACCTTGGCTTAGCCAGTTAACTCGACCCAGTTTATTCCGTGGTCAGGTTGCTCGGTCTCACACTGAGTTTTACTGAGGGTCAGCTCGTTCATACGTGATGATTCACTATCATCAACTCTGTTCATCCCGTAGCCGAACTGGCCTCTGACAACCGTTGTATAATTCTGACATACCCAGGTGGATCCGACTCAGGTGATTTGGTAGCAGACTGCTGTGTGTTTTGCTGTCAACAATGGTGTGAGTGTTATGATATGGTTGCCAGGTTACAGTGTTTATGTTCTATGCCTCCCTAAATAACCCCGTAACACACAGCTGAGCAGAGGTTAGTTATCTCTGTCAGCCACAGTCAGCTGTTTCATGAACCCACTGTTGTCTAGTTGTATCAGTGGACTCTCAAAGTTGTAAATGCAAGGTCACCACCAAATCATTTTGTCTGCACAAAACTGGACAACAGATACTCAGGATGGCTGTAGCAAGTTGAAGCAGCTGACAGTTGTTCTACTTGTTGAGCATTTGGAAGGCATCCTTGTTAAATGTGGCCAGAGTTTAAAAGGTGACATGTGATGAACATGACAAGGTACAACAAAATATAACAGGCAGTAAACTGTACAATCTATTGATGGTGTCTTATTTAGTCAGATATTCAAAAGGCAGACGCTGCTTTGGTGACTGACTTTCTACCCCACCAGGACATCACACAAGCGATAAACACCCGATGACACAATGTACCACCATGTGGATGAGGATCACCGTGGAGAGGTCCCAGAAACCGCGTTCAGCCAATTAGCCATATTTATGGCCTGCCTATATTGCGGCCACTATCAAGAGCCAGGGTGGGGCTTCAAATAACGAAAAATGTCATCCTAAAAAGGACGGTAAAAACATTGTAACTGCTTTGGTTTATGTCTGTGTCTGATGACTAATTCTTGCTGTGTGAATTATTAATGTAAACAATGTGCATTGGTATTTTCAGACATTTCTAGAAAGAACAGTGCGCCTCATGTCATACGTTGTCCCGTCCCTCATAGCTGTGTCTGTGATTGGAGGCATTAATGGCTCGGTCTTGTCCATGTCAAGGTCAGATTAACACAAATATCTTCAAGTTTTGTTTGTTTCTTCTTCTTGTGCTTTTTATCTCCCTGCCAAGTATAGGCCCTCAGCCAACACATGCCAGGCACTTCTTAGACTGATTTATGATTGGTTAGCTGTTGCAGTGAAATGCTTTAATGGGATGTTACTGGTAGATGACAGAGTAACGGTTCCTGTGCTTCTCGACAAGCCTTGTGTCTCAGAGATGTTGGTGCTGCCTGTGCAAGTTGTGAGCTAGGGGTGGATGCTGATGACCTGTTGCAGACAGGTGCAGCAATCAGCAGTCATGAACATCATCACTAGGATGTTTCTATTGAGTGTGCTGTGTGGTTCTTGTGCAGCTGTAGTCATGGGAACAGATCTGTTCACACTCGAAGATTTTGTCTTTATTCTCACATGCCACTGTTGTAGACAGTATATGAGTGTATAACTCAGAGAGAGAGAAAACATTTGGTTTCTCATTGCTGATCTCAGTAGAGGTTTACTGGTTCAAGGTGACACAGCAGTCGGTTGCAGAATAGAACCAAGGAAAGGCAGCCTTCTATCAGTAGAGTATATATGTTCATATCAATCAGATAATAAGCTTTCTAGTTGTTGTATAAGACTTACACTATTGCATATTCCAGTCAAAGGTTACCACTGAACAATCTGAGTAGATTTAAACTGGAGGACACAGCGATAGTATCTGCAAGTTGCTGAGAATCCAGTGGGTGACAAAGAAGACCAGTATTCAAGTGCTGCAGGAGCAGATTTTACATGGCTGGACAGTTACCCACATCAGGACAAGATTAAGGTCCTGGGAGGGGCACGGAAACTGTTGTAGCTAGTGAGACAGTCCAGAGACAGGCTGACAGCGGGGAAAGTCCTGATGGGTTGACAAACTGGCGTGAAGGGTGCACAATGATGGTAACATATGGAGAACACAGCTGCTTGTGTGGAAATATGTTCACTTGCAGTACCAGGTATGGCACTTGATGATGCTGACAAACAACTGGGCAACCACATTAGCCAGCTCAATTCAGGTTGACCATCTTAAGGTATGAGGTGCAGTAGTTTCAGGTTGACCATCTGAAGGTATGAGGTGCAGTAGTTTCAGGTTGACCATCTGAAGGTATGAGGTGCAGTAGTTTCAGGTTGACCATCTGAAGGTATGAGGTGCAGTAGTTTCAGGTTGACCATCTGAAGGTAATGAGGTGCAGTAGTTTCAGGTTGACCATCTGAAAGGTATGAGGTGCATCTGTAGTATTTCAGGTTTTGACCATCTGAAGGTATGAGGTGCAGTAGTTTCAGGTTGACCATCTGAAGGTATGAGGTGCAGTAGTTTCAGGTTGACCATCTGAAGGTATGAGGTGCAGTAGTTTCAGGTTGACCATCTGAAGGTATGAGGTGCAGTAGTTTCAGGTTGACCATCTGAAGGTATGAGGTGCAGTAGTTTCAGGTTGACCATCTGAAGGTATGAGGTGCAGTAGTTGCAGACTGGAGTAGCTGTTGTTCTGTGTAGTACAACATTCTCACACATTTGGTCATTGATGTTTTTATTGATTACATTTCCAGATTATTCTATGTGGCTGCCAAGAACAATCATTTACCTTCAATCATCTCCATGATTCAAGTGAAAAACTGTACCCCATCACCATCCTTGATTGCCATGGTAGGTCTGTTAGTCTGGCAATGTTGTTTTGTATTTTCTCTCTAGCATCAGTCTGTATCCTTGAGGTTATCCATCATTTAGCTATTCATATATTCATCTGTCTGCCAGATTGCCATGGTAGGTCTGTTAGTCTGGCAATGTTGTTTTGTGTTTTCTCTCTAGCATCAGTCTGTATTCTTGAGGTTATCCATCATTTAGCTATTCATATATTCATCTGTCTGCCAGATTGCCATGGTAGGTCTGTGTGTCTGGCAATGTTGTTTTGTGTTTTCTCTCTAGCATCAGTCTGTATTCTTGAGGTTATCCATCATTTAGCTGTCCATATATTCATCTGTCTGCCAGATTGCCATGGTAGGTCTGTTAGTCTGGCAATGTTGTTTTGTGTTTTCTCTCTAGCATCAGTCTGTATTCTTGAGGTTATCCATCATTTAGCTATTCATATATTCATCTGTCTGCCAGATTGCCATGGTAGGTCTGTTAGTCTGGCAATGTTGTTTTGTGTTTTCTCTCTAGCATCAGTCTGTATTCTTGAGGTTATCCATCATTTAGCTATTCATATATTCATCTGTCTGCCAGATTGCCATGGTAGGTCTGTTAGTCTGGCAATGTTGTTTTGTGTTTTCTCTCTAGCATCAGTCTGTATCCTTGAGGTTATCCATCGTTTAGCTATTCATATATTCACCTGTCTCCCTGCCTGAACTCTGCTGTTGTAATACTTTCACTGTCTCAGTAACTGAATTCTGGTACTTTTACTGTCAGTGTTATACTTTCAATCTGTATTACTCTTTACCTCTTCTTCCCTCCTCTCCTTCTCTTTGAAAGTCAGTAATTATAGTTCATTATCTAACAGTCAAGCATTCTGGGCAAAGACTTGCATGTTCCATCTCCTTCAGAAGGAACCGATGCAGATCACGCCAGTCACAAACTGATTGCAAACATTGCCAGGTTGGTCCTCATTTGCTGCTCCTTTCTACACCCATACTTCAGTTAAAACTCAGACATCTTTCATGATATTAATTTATCTATTATAACAGTTGACATCACTGGTCATTCCCATGCATGCTTAGTTCTCCCATGCAGCAGCCACCACAAGGTACCTCTACTCATTGTTCCCATGAGGTGTTGGTTATAGTGTCTGCTGCCTTGACTTGAAAATTGGCATTGATGTGCTTCTACATGCTTTACTCCCAGGCCATGCTGTGTCTCCCACTAGTCGTTATGGAGTCTTGAAGCCAGCGGTCCACTTGCTTGTTGTCTCTCATCCCAGCATGACTGAGACAGTTTATCCATGTCTGGTCTGTGAGAGAGAGAGAGAGAGAGAGAGAGAGAGAGAGAGAGAGAGAGAGAGAGAGAGAGAGAGAGAGAGAGAGAGAGAGAGAGAGAGAGAGAGAGAGAGAGAGAGAGAGAGGGAGAGAGAGAGAGAGAGAGAGTTGAAGCTTGGTACCCCCTCATGCCTGTGCATGTTATATCCTGGAAGATTTGTGTCTAGTTAACTTACCTGAAAGCTTCTAACATGTCGCATTTTGACAGTCAGCTCTCACATGGATGATGTTTGTCTGCAGCTGGTGCTAGTGGTCATCATGCAGTGCTTGGGAAATATCTTCTTCCTCATTGAGATGCTTGGCTTCAGTTTGTCCATTCTTCTGGCCACAGTCTTCGGAGGCCAGGTCTTCCTGAGATACACTGAGCCTAACCTGCACAGGCCTATTAAGGTAAAGAGGAGGGAGAGAGAGTGTGTGGTGGGAAGACGGAGACAGAGAATGGATGTGTGATAGAGGAGTGTGTTGGGGGATAAAGAGGTTGAGATATTTTAGAGAAAGGGAGACACAAGTAAAAAGAGGTACACAGAGAGATAGATTGGGGGTAGAGGGGGGTGTGTGTGTGTGTGCACACTTGCAAAGGAGCATGAGAAGGAAAGAGAGGGGTGTTGAAGGGAGCCTTTGTTTTTGCGTGTGTGTGCATGCATATGTGTGTGTGTGAGAGTCAGTTAGTCAAAGAGGGAGTGGGAGAAAGTGGCAGAGAGTCAGTCAGAGATAGTAAGAGAAAGTCAGTAAATCAGTCAGAGAGAGAGTGGGAGAGAGAGAGTCAGTCAGAGAGCTAGTGGGAGAGAGAGAGCTAGTGAGTCAGAGAGATAGTGGGTGAGAGACAGTGAATAAGTCAGAGAGAAAGAGAGTAAAGGACCACTCCAAGCGTCACACACACACACACACATACACACGACATTGGGTATATGGTGCTGGTTGCATAATGTTAGACCAACTGGAACAGGATGACTGATGTCACCCACATCACTTTGACCGTCTTTCTTCTCCTTCTTCTGGACTTTAGCCTGGTTTGAAAACCTGAGTGTTACATTCATACCTGTTTTACAGATCTGACTTATTTGTATGCAGATTGTTGGTTTCCTTGCCTCTCAGGCAGATGCACTCTGACTTTGAAGGATGTCCCCAATTAGTCGACTCTTAAAACTTTCTTGTTGGGGAGGAAGTGGATCAGTTCTTGTTTTCCCCATAATAGGGCCCTGGAACGCACACAGGGATGATAGTCTATAAATACCAGGGCACGTCTTGGTGCTCATTTAGGCTGGTTGATCTGCCACTTATTTGTGGCATTCGTAGACCAGGAGAAGGCATTTGACAGTCGACAGACAATTATTATGGAAAGTAATGGCAAGATATGGAGTAAGCGAACACTTCATCGAAGTATGCAAAAGTTTATACAGGGATTGTAGAAGTGTAGTTAGAATAAATCAGGGAACATCTCATCCATTCACAGTAACATCTGGAGTAAGACAGGGGTGTGTCTTATCACCACTGCTGTTTATCACTTACATCGACAGTATATGCAAGAATGCCAAGCCCATGAATGAAAATGTTAGTAAGATCAATGAATTACTCTTTGCAGATGACCAGGCCTTGATAGCAGATACAGCCATGAAATTGCAACAACATCTAACATCCATGAATGAAGAACGTAAAACAAATAATATGAGAATCAACACGGAAAAGACAGAAGTAATGTCAATAGGAAAAAAGAAGACAGATCTAAACATAGCAATAGAGTGCAAAGTCATTAAACAGGCATCTGAGTTTAAATATCTGGGAACTACATTTACTGAAGATGGGAAATTGGATAAAGAAATTAACATTAGATGCAGTAAAGCAAACCAAGTATTGGGACAGCTAGCTCCCCTCTTACAGCATAAGACAATCCCAATCAGCACAAAGAGACATCTTATTCAAAGCATATTTATTCCAACTCTGTGCTACCAGTGCCAGACATAGTCACTCACAAAAAACCATAAAAGAAAATTAGTAACAATGGAAATGAGATGTCTGAGAAGGGCTGTAGGAGTGACCATAAGAGATAAGATCAGGAATGAGATCATAAGAGAAAACGTCGGCACAGAACAAATTCTAAATTACATACGAATACAGCAGGTGAAATGGTTTGCCCACTTAGAGAGAATGCATTGTGACACCATACCATACAAAGCATACATGGAAAGAGAAGAAGGACGTAGAGCACGAGGTAGACCAAGAACAATGGAAGGATAACATCAGAGAAACCCTACAACAGCACGATGTGCCTATGGTTGAGGTGGCCAGAAGAGCTAGAGACAGAACCTTATATCTCCCTCGACACCCACAGCGGTAAAAGAGGAAGTGAAGAAGAAGAAGAAGAAGAAGAAGATCTGCCAGTCCAGGGGCTGATTGGCAAAGACAAGAGATAGCCGTCCGGCAGACAGACATGTTGGTAACTGTGGTGTATATTATAAATGATTGGCAGTAGGCAGGACAGATGCTGTGAACAGACAAGTTGAGCAATGTGATATTGCACTAATAAAAGTTATAAGTTTTGTGTGTGTGGATGATGTTAATATAAACATTTGTTTAAGATGAAAGAAAATAGACATGTTTTTGGGCTCCTAAATGTTGACTGAAATTGTTGCTGACCCAGCTGCCTTGGATACTGCCAGCCTTCCTGTGCTGCGTGTGCATGGCCCTGATGGGGATCACAGTCTACCAGAAACCTTGGGAGAGCAGTATTGCCCTGGTGATTATAGTTTCTGGGGTGCCCGCCTACATCCTGGGCACTAAGTGGAGGAAACCACACGGGGTGCAGACATTTATTGGTGAGTCTGTCTTAGCTGGCTTGAGCATGTTGTTCACTGCCACAAACTGTTGCTGAGACAATAGTCATTGACAATTTCTTTCATATTTGAATTGTAAATTGATAACACCCACTTTATAGCACTGCTTGCCACTTCTCTTCCAACCTAGTATATGTTGACACACTATGCACTCATATCTTCTTTCTTCTTCAATAAAAGTACCACACAGTTAAGTCCTTTCTTGTCTACCCTAAGCTGTAGAGGTACTTGATAGTATTGTTTTCCTTCCACTACTTAATGGTTGAAAAACAATCCCATAGATATTTGTTGTCTTGTCTCTTACAGCCAGACTGAAACATTTGAAACAACTCAAGCATATTTGACTCATTTGTAACCCTTTCACATGGGTGACCTAGAAACAAAAACATCCAAGCTTCAATTCTCTCCAGTTTTATAATATTACTGAGAAACAAATCTATAGAAAACCAACCATTTTGCATCTCACCAAAAAAAAAAAATAAAACATATCCATTTATCATTAAATATATACTATACACACTAAGGGGAGTAATCAGTAGAAACAGATGCACAATAGAATCAACTGGCTGATATCTCTTGGGAGCCAGTAAACTGGTAATCTGGTAATCAATTATATGTGACAGTTGACTCTGACCAGGTGCCCGGAATCAACTGGCTGACATCTCTTAGGGGCCAGTAAACTAATTATATGTAACGTTTGACTCTGACCTGGTCGTCTAGACACTTAGTTGACTCTGACCTGTTCGCCCGGAATCAACTGGCTGACATCTTTTAGGGGCTAGAAAACTAATTATATGTGACACTTAGTTGACTCTGACCTGGTCGTCCAGACACTTAGTTGACTCTGACCTGGTCGTCCAGACACTTAGTTGACTCTGACAGAAATCCCAGCTCAATGGTATTGTTTTTGTTATTGTAGGCATCCCCTGTCATGTGAATGTATGTGTAGATGCAGATGCAAATAATTTTGTTTGCTAGAAGAAGTAAAAAATTGATAAAGATAGCTGGCCACAGACACTCTACAGTCAAGATAACAGATAACATTCTCATTTCAGATGGTATCACCATGACTCTACAGAAACTGCTGCTGGTGTCAGCCTGCGACTAGATGGTCTAGTCTGGCCGTGCACATCTCTTCAGCTACATCAAACATGCTGTGTCTGTATATCTGACTGTCTCATGCTGCTGGCTGGGCTGGTCTTGCCACAAACAACTCTTCAACTACATCAAACATGCTCTTGTTTATCTGACTGTCTCGTGCCGCTAGCTACTCTGGCATGCTAGGGTAGAAGAGAAAACATTCAACGCTTCTTCTTCAGCAGAGGATAGAAGACACTGAGCAAGAATTCAAAGGCACATGTGCCCTGTACATGAGGAAAGTTGATGTCTTGTCAGTGACGATGCAGCAATCCTTTAGCTGATTCATGTCTTGTCAGTGACAATGCAGCAATCCTTTAGCTGATTCATGTCTTGTCCGTGACAATGCAGGAATCCTTTAGCTGATTCATGTCTTGTCAGTGACGATGCAGGAATCCTTTAGCTGATTCATGTCTTGTCAGTGACGATGCAGCAATCCTTTAGCTGATTCATGTCTTGTCAGTGACGATGCAGGAATCCTTTAGCTGATTCATGTCTTGTCAGTGACGATGCAGGAATCCTTTAGCTGATTCATGTCTTGTCAGTGACGATGCAGGTATCCTTTAGCTGATTCATGTCTTGTCAGTGACGATGCAGGAATCCTTTAGCTGATTCATGTCTTGTCAGTGACGATGCAGGAATCCTTTAGCTGATTCATGTCTTGTCAGTGACGATGCAGCAATCCTTTAGCTAATTCAGCACTGGCAATAATGAAACCTTGTTCCCTGTACTATTTCAGTATGGGCCATTTTCATGTGCTTTGTGACATGTCATTCGATATCTGAAATGTTACATACACAGGTATACAATTCCTATTCGCATCATTGTCATGTTTGGAATATAATGAGTATTTTTAAACATCGCTTCATGTGCTGAAATTGTTAGCATCAGTTGTTTTTTAGGGTTTGTATGATTTAACAAAGATAGGCTTTGGAATTAATATGAAGTTATTCTTGATGTTGGAAGCTTGTGAACATGTTTCTACTGGATGTGCTGGAACTGTGAACATGTTTCTACTGGATGTGCTGGAATTGTGAACATGTTTCTACTGGATGTGCTGGAACTGTGAACATGTTTCTACTGGATGTGCTGGAACTGTGAACATGTTTCTACTGGATGTGCAGGAACTGTGAACATGTTTCTACTGGATGTGCTGGAATTGTGAACATCAAGTGATGCGTGCACTTCTAGAGGGCAAGCCAGCCAGAAGACAGTGTTACTTTTGTCACAAGTCATTTGATGAGCCTGTGTCTACACATTTGCCTGAGTAGCTACCCTTGGGTAGACTGCACTGTAGCAAGTGATGGACTGGAGCAAGTTTCTCAGGGTGAAGACACACACAGACCAGAGTACTTGGGTAGACTAGACTGTAGCAAGTGATGGACTGGAGCCAGTTTCTCAGGGTGAAGAGACACACAGACCAGAGTGCTTGGGTAGACTAGACTCTAGCAAGTGATGGACTGGAGCCAGTTTCTCAGGGTGAAGAGACACACAGACCAGAGTGCTTGGGTAGACTAGACTCTAGCAAGTGATGGACTGAAGCCAGTTTCTCACGGTGAAGACACACACAGACCAGAGTGCTTGGGTAGACTAGACTGTAGCAAGTGATGGACTGGAGCCAGTTTCTCACGGTGAAGACACACACAGACCAGAGTGCTTGGGTAGACTAGACTGTAGCAAGTGATGGACTGGAGCCAGTTTCTCAGGGTGAAGACACACACAGACCAGAGTGCTTGGGTAGACTAGACTGTAGCAAGTGATGGACTGGAGCCAGTTTCTCAGGGTGAAGACACACACAGACCAACGTGCTTGGGTAGACTAGACTCTAGCAAGTGATGGACTGGAGCCAGTTTCTCAGGGTGAAGACACACACAGACCAGAGTGCTTGGGTAGACTAGACTGTAGCAAGTGATGGACTGGAGCGTTTCTCAGGGTAAAGACACACACAGACCAGAGTGCTTGGGTAGACTAGACTGTAGCAAGTGATGGACTGGAGCCAGTTTCTCAGGGTGAAGAGACACACAGACCAGAGTGCTTAGGGCCCAGAGTGGGCATGGATATGGCCCCGTGACTGAAGGATGCTCTTGTGTGTGTATCTGCATTTTGTACAGTGTTTTCATTTGACCAGAATTTCCAGCCCACGTTAATCAAACATTTGTAGAATTGTTTTTGGTCAGTGGGTGTTTTGTGGTTGTTTCCTTCAGAGACATGGCACATACAGAATCTTGCACTTGTCTTTCTGAGAATGTGGAATGTTTAGACATGCCAAATGCACAGGGTAATTAGCTTATGATTGACTGGTAAATGTTTGCAAATGTATATTTTAGTTTACAACAAGTTATTGAAATTAACATTTTTTTTTTAAAATTAGTCAAATAAAATATGACAGATAATTTCACCTTCTTGCAACTCAAGAATCTTGACTGGAAATTATGAAATCAACCCACTTAACTAAAACCTGAAAAATACAAGTTAATATTAGAATTCTGATGAACATAAAACAGACAATTATTTGTATGAATGTTGTCAGCCAAGTATGCTTCACTTCCAACGACCATGGTGTGGGTTAAATAACATTTGACGTCAGGAAACCCCCCACCCCCCACCTTTTTTTTTAACCTATTGAATGGATATGTACAATATTTCCTTAACAAATGTACATAGAAATGGCACACGCTGTACTCATTGATGATTTGTTGCTGTGAAAATTTGTTTGTCTCTGTCTCTATCTCATTGACCGACACAACTTTTTGTGTGCTGGCTCTGTCTCTATATCATTGACCAATACACCTTTATTGTGCTGTCCTGAATGATTTTCAAAGCAATCTTTCCCCGCTGTAAAACTGAACAGAGAAGACACATATTGCACAATTTATTTATGTAATCGTTTCTGTAGTATGCGCCTGAAATATGCCAGGCAATAAATTGTGCAATCTGTTGTTTTTGTCTTCTTTGTTCAGATTGGGGGATTTTCTCAAACATTCTGTGCACACTTGTTCTCAAGTGTCCTACATGTATAAACACGCCTGATTTCCACAGATAACACAGTTTGAGGTGTCTAACCTTTCCATGTTGATTTATTCTCAGACGTATCCTACCCAGCTGATTTCCACAGATAACACAGTTTGAGGTGTCTAACCTTTCCATGTTGATTTATTCTCAGACGTATCCTACCCAGCTGATTTCCACAGATAACACAGTTTGAGGTGTCTAACCTTTCCATGTTGATTTATTCTCAGACGTATCCTACCCAGCTGATTTCCACAGATAACACAGTTTGAGGTGTCTAACCTTTCCATGTTGATTTATTCTCAGACGTATCCTACCCAGCTGATTTCCACAGATAACACAGTTTGAGGTGTCTAACCTTTCCATGTTGATTTATTCTCAGACGTATCCTACCCAGCATTAGCTTTATTGGGTAGTGCTTGATATATTTAGAAATGAAATGAAGAACATCTTATGCAATATATCTTTGTCATTGAGGGTTAGAAACATTCTTGCTTGCTACATACATCCTGTTTTAACATATGGCTGTGAGTCCTGGACAATCAGTAGGCAGGCCAAATAGTTTCTTGAGCCCTCATAGATGTGGTTTTACAGAAGAATGCTTAAAATACCTTAGATAGCCAAAAATATCAACCAAGAGGTTTTGAAAGAGGCGGGAGCCTGAATTCAACTTATCACAGACATCAGAAGGAGACAGTCATAATTTTTCGGCTATGTTATTAGAAAAGAGAAAATGGAACATGTTGTGACCACTGCAAAGATCTGTGGTAGGAGGAATTGAAGAAGACAGCGAAAGAAGATTCTTGACAGTCTTTTTGCATGGCATGGAGGTATGTCAGCACACGAACTGATACATGCTGCAGGAGATGGCAGATTGTAGAGAGGCATGGTTTTCCCATGCAGGTGGGCAAGGCACCTGATGATGATATTTAGAAAATATGCCAAGGGAGAGTGAGAATGTGTCTGTATCTGTAGTGGCTGGTATTGTGTAATTAGGGAGTATAAATACACTGTTGTTTGAAGGCTGTAGACACTGTCTGTTTCCACAATATTGAACAGGATACATGTACCTGCAGTCACTGCCTCTCTTATTTGAAGTCATTCCTGTGTCAAACCAAGTTTCTCATATCACTGCCAAATATGATCCTTCTATGTTTTTATTTGTTTTATTTACGGACAGATTAAATGCCAAATTTGATTATTGATAAACAATCAGTTTTTTATATTAGAACCAGACAAGATGTCTTTTGTCTTGTGTGGATTTTAATACAAATCAATGACAGTTTGGGCATTTTATTGACTCACTGTTAGATATTTTTCATATTGCAACTGTTTTGTAAATCTGTGTTACAGTGTCAGCATAGGGTAATCAGCTTGGTAGTCAGTGGGTTAATCAACCCTGTGAATGTATGCCCTAGGTGACAGCAGTTGTCTCTTAGCCACAACATTTCGCTGGGAGTCACTGTAGAGTAGAAGCTGGAATGGGACCTTGGCTTCAGTCTGCCAGTTGGTCTATGAAATACATGGCTAGCACCATCTGTCAACATACCCTGGTAGAACCTGAACGTTTTTCCAAGCCAGACTTGCGTTAACTTGGTAGAAATCTGTCGACCAACCTGTTACATGATCTCTCTAATTTCAATATCAGTGATGACATCGAGACAGCAGGTCAGTTGGTGGCCTGCCTCACCAGAATCTCAGCTCACTTCCAATGTGGGCACAACTTATACCGGTATATCAGGGGCTCGGTTTGCAGACAAGTATGTTTATTTATGTGATTGCTATATATTGTAATAATACTTTGTTTTGCAGGTAAATTCACTGACACAATCTCTTATTACATAAATAACATATATGATGGACAATGTTTTATAACACTGAGTGGCATTCAACAGTTTGATGTTTTTCCTTTACTATGTTATGTTCAATTGACAGTTTCCTCCAGCCCGCCACCACCACACC